GAAGGACTAGAAGCCCTTGCTGCAGAAGATCAAGGGGTACCACCTTCAATATGGATTGCATCTCAACATCATAGAAATAGAAATCCTCACCATCAGGCTAACAGGTGATGATAGATGATGGCAAAAAGTTTGAAGTAGTCAATGATTTCATCTTACTTTGATCAACGATCAACACCTTTGATATTAGCAGTCAAGAAGTAAAAAAAACAAATTACATTGGGGAAAATCTGTTGTCAAGGACCTATACAGAATACTAAAGAGCAAAGATATTAGTTTAAAGATTAAGGTGCACTTGATCCAAGCCATGGCCTTTTCAATTATTTCTATGCATCTGAAAATTAGGTAATGACTAAGGATTTCAGAAGAATTGATGCCATTGAGTTGTGGCATTGGAGAAAAGTATTGAATATCCCATGGACTGCCAAAAGAACAAATAAGTCTGTCCTGGAGGAAGTGAAATAAAGGTGCTTCTTGGAGGCAAGAAACTCCCTGTTATATACTTTGACATGTTGTAAGTAGGACATCATGTTTGAAGAAGTGGAGAGTCAATGTAAGCAAGGAAGACCCTCAACAAAATGGAGTGACACAGTAGCTGTAACAATAAGTTGAATGTTGGAGATGATAAGGATGGCACAGGATAGAGCAAGATTCAGAGCCCATTGTTCCGTTACATAGTCAACTCAACAGCACACAACAACACGTTAGCTGTAGTATTATATACATTAACTTCTAGACAAAATGATAGCCCCCTCATATTCTTTTGCTCACTTGTCTCAGAAGGGTGGAGTGTCAGCAAAGGAGAGGAAGACCCTTGACCAGGTAGACTGACACGATGACTGCCGCAATGGGCTGTAGTGCATCAGAAGGTGTGAGGATGGCACAGGTTAGTACATAGGGTAGCTCTGGGTCACAGCCGACTAGAGAACACCTAATAACAACAATGGCAAATGAGAAGCAGGAATAAGTCAGCAGATGGGTCAAAAAGACCAGCTGGTGATCTCAGCAGATTTCAAAGGGTATGGAGGATGAAATATGCTACAGCCAGAGCTCTATTTTATCTTTTCACCACTCGCTATTATTTCCTGCAATGGGGTAAGTTGAGGTGACTGCAGTTAAGTGAACAAACACACAGTGGCAATTTAGCAAAACAAGTGGAATAGATTTATTAAGGCACTGACAGGCATAGCTACTGAAAGAGAAAGAAAAAAAAGAGGCAGAAAGGACCCCTGAAGAGTTAAGAGCAAACTCAAATCTTACATCATACTGTCAGCAAAAGAGAGAGAGAAAAAAAAAAAGCTCACTTGTTTCTTATATTCATCAACTGGATGATGCTTCATCACACTTGTTTTGGATTTCTTTAAATAAATTTTTTATTTTAATTGTGATTTTAACGAAAGTTTACAGAAAAGTTATATTTTCATTCATTCATTGTTGCATATTTCCCCACTCTTTCCCTTTCCCCTTTCCTCTTTCTCCTTTACCCTCTCCCAGTTCATCCCCCCCACCCCCCACCCCCGATGTGTACCGCTGAGTGGATCCGATTAATTGGCAGAGGAGGAGATTGCCTCTGTCTCAAGCGGAGCATCTGGTGGATTCGAACCACGTACTTTGGGATTGCAGCGCAGCTTCTTGCTATTAGGCCACCAGAGCTCTTTCTCACTTTCTTTTTCTTTTCTTTTTTTTTTAAATGTTAATTTCATTGTTGCACAATTACCTCCCTTTCCCCGCTCCAGTCCTCTTTGCAATGCATGTTGTTATTAATACCTTTTAATCCATTCCGACTCAGTGATCCTGCGTATAACAGAGTGAACCACTGCCCAATCCTGCACCATTCTTGGAATCGTTGTGCTTAAGACGATAGTTGTAATTATTGTGTCAATCTCATCACACTGTTGATATTCATTCTAAGGCACATCCTTTCAAGATAAATTTGTTCTTTTGATAGTACATAGGATGTTCATCCAATACTCTTTACCAACACCGTAATTCAAAGGCATCAGTTATTTTTTTTAGTATTTATTTTTTATTGTGTAGCATGTATATGAAGCAATTGAAAAATATGGTTTGGGTCAGATATACTTTAGTCTTGAAACTGACACCCTTGCTCTGTAGCACTTTAAAGACATCCTTGACGGCAGATTTGCCCAGTGCAAAGCATTGTTTTATTTCTTGACTGATATTTCCTAGAGTATATATTGTGGATTCATGTAAAATTAAATAATTGACAACTTCAATCTTTTTTCATTTATGATGTTGCTTATTGGTCAGGATGTGAAAATTTTTGTTTTATTTATATTAAGATTTCATTTATTCTGAAGATTTTAATATTTTTGTCAGTAAGAGTTTCAAGTACTCTTTGCTTTCAGAAAGTAAGGTTATAGCACTTCTATATTGCAGGTTGTTAACAATTCTTCCTCCAATAGCCTAATGTTTCAACTTCACAGATTACTCATTCAGAAAGAGATTGAATAAGTGTGATGAAAGGATATGACCCTACGTACATCTTTCTTGAATTTAAATTATGAAGTATTCCTTTGTTTTGTCCAAAAGATTGCTTTTTGATCTGTGTACAGCTTCTACATATGAGCAATTAAGAGCTCTGAAATTCTCACTTCTTGTAATGTTATCCATAATTTGATATACTACATAGAGTTGAATGCCTTTGTGTAATCAATAAAACACAGGTAAACAAGATCTGTTTATATCAACAATTATATCCCTTTCTCCACTACTTCTTCTGAATTTTAGATTGCTTTTAAATTCTCTTTCACTAGAGTTTACTTATGTCTAATATTAATGATACTGTTTTAATAATTCCCACATTCTGTTGGAACATCTTTCTTTGGAATGATAATTAATTATAGTTAGTACAAATATAGATCTCTCCCCATTGACTGATCAGGTAACTCTCCTCCATATTTCTTGAAACAGATAAGTGAGTTTAGTCCAGGGCTATATCTGTTAAAACATTCCAAATTGTATTCAGTTGGTTCCTGGAGACTTGGTTTTGGCCAATGCTTGCAGTATAGTTTGGACTTATTCCTTCAGATCATTACTTCTTGATCACATGACACTTGCTGAAATGGTCGTGGAGAAACCTATTCTTTTTGGTTCAGGGATTTAATGTATTCTCTATATCTTCTTTTGATGCTTTTAGTGCCCTTTAATAGTCTCTCCTTGTTGTTGTTGTTGTTGTGTACCATCAAGTCGGTACCCATAGCTAACCCTCTGGCAGGTTTTCAGAGACAATTAATTGCAAGGGAGGAGATTTTCCACGTTTCTCCCACTGAGCAGCTGGTGGATTCAAAGTGAAAGCCTTCAGGATTGCAGCATAGCTTCCTGCATCTCAGCCACCAGAGCTCCTTAGAACAGATGTCCTTCGAATATTTAATTGTTGCAGCTCAAAGCTTGATTTTATTCTTCAGTTCTTTCCCCTTCAGAAATGTTGAGATTATTCTCTTTTGGTTTCTTAACTTCAAATCTTTGCAAATTTTCTTATATTTTGCTCTATCTTCTTGAACTGCAATTCTAAATCTTTTGTTCAACTGCCTGCATTTTTTAGTTGCTCTACATTCTAGAGCAAATTTTAGAGCCTTTTCTTATATACATTTTGGTATTTTCTTTCATTCTTTTTTATTTTAATGACATTTTGCTTTTGTAATGTATAATGCCACTTCATATCTTGTCTTCAATAATTAGTATACAATGTCATCTATAATTAGATTGTAATAGATCAAATATATTATTTATATTCTTTTTAAATTTAGTTGGCATACCCTCAAGCTTATCTTTTGGCTCACATAAACCTGTTTTAATTTTCTTCAGCTTCAACCTGAACTTATAAATGAGCAATTGATAGTCTGGTCTGTTGTCAACTTCTGGTCTTGCTATGACTGATTATAATGAGCTTCTCCACCATTTCTTTCTACAGATATAGTCCATTTACTCAGTATACAGATTGAATAGACATGGAGAAAGGATACAACTCGGACACACACTTTCCCTGGTTTAAAACCATATAGTGTTCTCCTGTTTTATTTGGACATCTTAATTATTGGTCTATGGATAGGTTTTCCAACCGTATAATTATGTACACTGGGATTCTCATTCTTCTTAATGATAGCTATACTTTTTTGTGGTCCACATAGTTAAACGCTTTGCATCATCAATAATACACAGATAAATATCTATCTGATATTCTCTGCTTTCAGCCAAGATCCATCTGACAATAGCAATGATATTCCTGGAGTCATAGTCTCTTCAGAATCTATCATGAATTTTTAGCTTGAGTATCAAAATGGATGTCAGAAGAGACTCTGAATATTGCACTGGAGTGCAGAGAAGCCAAAACAGAAGGAAGAATTCAAGATACTAAAGAGCTGAATAGAAGATTTCAAAAGGCAGTGCGGGATGACAAAGTAAAATATTACAATGAAATGTGCAAGGAGTTGGA